TACGTTGGGGAAACCGGCCGACGGCTGCAAACGCGCATGCACGAGCATAAGTTGGCCATGCGAAGGTCGGACCCAAAGTCGAAGGTAGCAACCCATGCCGCCCAAATGGGACACGTCTTCAACTTTGACGCCGAAGAAATTGTGGGCCGAGGTGATGATCATACGGCAAGGCAGGTGCAAGAAGCCTGGATGGCTACCGACTGTTCTGTCAACTGCCACATCAATTTGCCTCCCCCTTATCTGGTTTTACGGACATTCTTGACGAGGGACAGTCACGGCGCGGGACAATCGGGGCCGTCAATTATCGCCGCGGCCGACGAAGATGGGCGGAACTCCGGTCACGACGACATGCGGGTCGGATGCAGCCACAGAGGCGGCATTGGTGGGCCAGGCATCAAACAAAGTGCGCCATAAAAGGAAAGCTGTGTGCATGACTGCTCAGTCTCTGAAGATGGGTAGACGAATCAACGACTGATACGTCGGACTTCAAATACACCTCTCCCGGTGAACGCCTCCTCTTTTTTTGATTTCGAACTATACAAGTCTGATCTTTGTAACATTTTGTTAACGGCATGATAGGCACTTTTCTAGTTAAAGGAATCTGAGTTCTAATTGCCTTCGACCTTAAAATAACGACAATTGGTCGTCTTCAGGATTCCAAAACCAAACTCAGAGGTAGTTTTATAACTTTCTCCCAGCCGCCTGTGATAATACATAACGCTGCCACCCAACTAGCTCGTGCTCATGTATGTGCGGTGTGAGCATGCGTTCAGCCGACTTTTGTTTCACAAATTATATAGAAGTGTGACTCGGCTCACCGAGCTATCCAAAATGCCGGACAAAATGCAGCCTCCCGGTTTTTCTTGTTGTTCACTTCTAAAGCCCATGCAGACAGTACTTGGCAGCAAACTCTAAATAATCAGGAAGTACTGCTGATACCAAGAAGAGAAGTTTTGAAAACTTCTTCTGCCCGTTGTCATAAAGTCACAGCTAACGTTCATATCGGGTATTTCTGACGGTTTATCAAGGGTCTAGTTGGCAGTTGGGCCAACGGTCCACTATTGAACCAGACATTCATACCCAGTCTTGTGCGTGTATCCATGTCAGGACTCTATACGTGAGCTCCACCGTTAAGCGCAATGCGCATGCCTCGTCCTAGAACAGGGATAAGTCAGCAGGCGCCAGTACGATGATACTGGATATTGTCCACTAATGAGAGGCATTAAAATTGGTGGATGAATCGCCTTAATTACACACAAAACCAAATCACCAGCTTGCTTAGTTGAGAACGCAATCTCACACTCAACCACTGGTTGTTGAACAAATCTCTATAGGGTGTGATTGTTGTTTCAGAACATCAAATCTATCGGTTAACTTAATTAGAATTTGAAAATGAGTGAGGCGCCATCAAAGCAGTTCGGAAGAACATACACAGAGAACACGCAAATAGCTAAATAGGCTATTTTTTACCTAAAATTCTGATCATGCGAGGTCTGACAAAAACACAGCGAAATGAGAACTTTCAGCCGGCTAACGTACAAATGACCTGACTGTGTATGAGGTTACGGAGAAAGGTGGACTGTGCAAACGGTCACACAACTACCTTGCACTAATATGCATCCCAAGGCTGTTCACTTGATACTCTTATGACATATTTTGTAACCGCGTACGACCGGCCTCGTCAGTAATGGTAGCATGCGGTGTGAAAAGCTCTCTGAAAACTAGGAACCAAGAGAAGTCACCTAGTCGGCGTTGCATGAGAAAACTAGCCTTGGCTTTCTACTCAACTATCCGGAACCCCAACCGAACTCTTCTATTTTAACGCATTAGAAACGCATTATCAGTCTTAAGACACACTTCGGCTAGATCGCAGTTGGTAGGCCGGAATGGGAAGCGAACGGCGACCATAACCCTAATCCCAACCTTAACCGTAACCCTAACCTCAACCGTTAACCGTTAACCCTAACGGCAACCCTAACCCTAGCCGAAATCGTATACGTAGCCGTAGCCCTTAGACATAGCCGTAACTGAGAAGCCTAACCGTAATACTGGAACCTATTCGCACGCTCAAACCCTAACCGTAACCCGTAAACATAAGCCTAAAGGCATAACCCTAACCCGAAAGTCGGAAATCATTAACCGGTAGCCTAATCCAAACCTCAAACGTAAAACGGAAGCCAAATGTGTCAGATGTGATTATGGAGCCCCACAAAATAACCCCAGTAAACAAACCCCCCAGCCACCTGTAATGCGGGTCCGGGCTACCAACTGCGATCTAGCCCACACACTTTTTGAGGGGTTGGCTCCCCATCGATCTCACAATCATGGCTTTGGTGTCGTGCTTACAGCCCAAGATTGTAGCCCAAGAACCGTTGTCAAAGAATAGTGAACTTTCAAGCATTGGGGCAAACAAGTCTACGTCAAGCTTCTCTTACAGGCTAAGCACGAAAAAATCAGTCCAATAATTTGCGATGGAGATACGTTGATATTTCGTCTGCAGGTACATGTGCCAAAATCGTGGCACGTTCCTATGCGTCCGTATCTCTGAAAACATCCTCTGCGTCCATCGTTCCAACCGCCGGTTGGGGTATGACCTTGTGTGAATGACCTTGCTTCGTATTGGCTGCAGTAACGGCCTATCTTAGCGACCTACAGGTCCCAAGGATGACCGGTAGTTGATATGGTCCGTGATCTTGTATCTCGCCCATGACAGATAAGCGACTAATATTAGACTTCAGTTAATAACTTCCATCTTTACTGTGAGAAGGCAGTCCTTTTCTACCAAAAGGCTGCTAGCCGTCTTTCATAGGAGAAAGGTTCTGGACAATAACTGTGGATACGCTAAGTGGTTGGTATGGCATGAACAGGATATATGATTTAAATCAAAGCATCAGAATAATTTCATTTTGATGCGGTAGACTTTCAAAGAAATAGAAGCTACCTCCAGTCACCTCGCCTGAAAATTTTGCATAAAGAGTATGGTGGTGCCTTCAGTGCCTCAGTTTCAAAACAGAAGGATGACCTGACTGTTCCACATCTCCTAACTGTTCCGCGCTAATCAGACAAGGCATGCTAAATTGGTACAGTACTGTTTCGGGGTAGACCCCAGTTGTGGACCAACTGCGCCAGGCGTGTCTGTGCACATGCTTGTTTTTTTGTCCCAAATGATGGCCAGGATTATGATTGGCTGAATGAAGGCAAAATACGCCCGAAACAGTTCTGCATCAACCTACCCGCATCCTCAGTCGTTCCTCCTCGCTGCTATTATGACTTGGCCGACTTCGGCCTGGTAGATAATTGCCTGATCGTAACCTTTGCCACCCATACGGAGCTTGTTTGCTTCGGGAAACCAGCAGATCGGTGTGCGCCCATTCCTGATTGAATATATGCATGAGCGAATGAAGAGGTTCTTCGGAAAAATCGAGTTGTACTCGTGAATTTTTGAGCTGGTGACACCAACCCGTCGTCAGACGAAATGAAAACAAGGGAGAAAGTTATTTTGTCACACTAGACTAGTTAGCGCGACAGGACAGACAGACAATTGGCTTATGAGAGGGATGGTCTCAGAGTCATGGTAGACCTCTGAGCGAGGGGGAGGGGGGGGAGGCGGAACAATTACGGATCCCTGGTCTGGAGGGGGAGGGTGGATAAATGCCGTTGATGTGGCATTAGGACAGGGGGCAGTAAGTCGTGAGCGTAGGCCCTCGTAATGGGCATCCAGGTCAACATGGCGGTTGATACTACCAGCATTGGAGTACCGAGCCTCGAGAAATCCTCTCGCCCGTTTTGTGTTAGCCATGGCGATTACCTCAGTGCCATCCCAAATGAATCGGTGGTCGCACTCGAGTGCGTGAGCAAAGACGAGGGACAGGGGGTCTCGCTGTCGGACAGCCAGTTTGTGTTCATTAATTCGGGTGCCCAGGCTTCGACCTGTATGGCCAACATACACGCAAGAGCAATTTGCGCACATAATGCGATAAATTACGTTTGTTTGTCGCTCTTTGGGGAGGGGGTCCTTGAATTGAGATAGTGCTGCGCGTAGTGAGGATGGTGGTTTGTGGGCGATGTGAATGCCAGAGCGATTTAACTGCCGGGCCAGTACTTCAAACGTTCCTTGCATATAAGGCAGGGAGAAGAATTGTCGAGACACAATTTCCCCGTTGAGGGTGGGACCTTGCGGTTGTGCCTGGTATCTGAGCAGTTCTTTACAAAACTTGTTCTATATCCGTTAGGTCGAAACAACCGATACAGGTAGGCAAGCTCTTTCTTAAGGAGATTGTCGCTGTTGCAATAACGAAAGGCCCGGTGGAACAGAGTTCGGACGCGGCTTCTTTTTTGAGCCGCGGGGTGGTTGCTTCCATAATTGAGGATAATATCGGAACTAGATCCTTTCCTATGGACGCTCATCGAGAGACTACAATCGCTCAGCCTTTGTATTTTCACGTCAGGAAACGACAGACTGTCCCCGATTGCCTCTGTACGGGTAAACTGTATGGCCGGGAAGACATCATTCAGCCTTTGATGCAGCCGTTCAACTTCACAGTTCTTTATTACGACAAAAGTGTCGTCTACATAGTGAAGCCACACTCTAGGGCTGAGAGCTTAAGAAGCCTCTTTTTCTAATCGCTGCAATGCAAGTTCTGCTAGCAGTCCTGATATTAGCGAGCCCATTGGGGTTCCATTTACTAGTTGGTAGAACTTATTGTCGAATTGACAGTAGTTTCCAAGACAGAGTTTGAGCAGTTCTATAATATGCTGAGTTGGAATCTCAACAGAATTCTCCTGCAAGCGTTGAGCTAAGCATTCGATTGCCAAATCGTGCGGTATGGAAGAAAATAAGGCAACGACATCAAAAGACAGGAAGCATTCATCAGCATTTACTTCACGGTCTTGGATCCTTTGGAGGAACGCGTGAGATCCATGGGTTAGCTGCTTCAGATGCCTGTATAACCACTTAGCTATACTGTAAGTAGGTGATCCGATGAGTGGTACAATAATCCTCAGTGGGGCATCCACTTTATGTACTTTTGGGAGACCATACGCGCGCGCGATATGGGATCACTGAGGGTGATCAACTTGGAATCATCTGGACTTATAATTTTCGGACGAGTGAGCTCAGTAACTACTTTCTCGATGGCAGCAGCTAGCTTTTTCTTCGGGTCTGCGGTAAGAAGAATGTAGGCAGCTACGTCACTGAAGATTCCATTCGCCTTGTTTACGCAGCCAATTTTGTCAATGATGACAGTAGCGCCACCCTTGTCAGCAGGAACAACAATATTGTGGTCCGATTTCAGTGATTGTTATCCTTGCGCTTCATCGGCCGGTAGGGTTTGTTGGCGTCTTTTTTGCCAAAGGGTACCAGTGGCACAGCTACGTATGTCTGCGCGCCTGTCTTCTAGAAGGGCTGAGGCCAGTAGAACTAACTCAAGGCCAGCTAGGAAGTTGGTAGGCGTGGCATTCGTATGATTAAATCCTATTCCCTTGGATAGGAGGCTGATTTCGGTAGGCGAGAGAATCTTCTTCGAAAGGTTGACGACTCTCGTGGTCATAATCCTCTCGTTCGTATTGCGGAGAAGAGATTGGAGATTCGCCTGGAGACCAACTCGCTTCTTCAATCTCGCATCCTTGGTGGTGGCGTTAATCCTTGCTTCACATCCTCAAATCCGTTTTCAGGTGGAGCTGAAGCGCACTGATTTTTAAGATCAGCAATTATTGCTCCTAATCTGCGAAGACGATTGTGGACATCAGATATTATAGCACTCAAAACGCGCCATCCGTATTTGCACGCAAGAAATCTCCCAGTCCCATTCGGCAACGTCGGTTTGAGACGAAGCGACATCGGTAACACGTCGTGATCGCGACAGCGATAAGGCAAGCTGTTCGAAAGTCATGGCCTGTCTCTGTGTGAATTTCTCCCAAGCTCTGGTAAGAATAAACGTTTGACGCCCAAATATATGTTGTAGATCAGAGGTGGTATGCATTCCGAGCCAATATAATGAAAAAAGGAAGAGGTTCTTTGGAAAAATCGAGTTGTACTCGTGAATTTTTGAGCTGGTGACATCAATCCGTCGTCAGACGAAATGAAAACAAGGGAGAAAGTTATTTTGTCACACTAGACTAGTTAGCGCGACAGGACAGACAGACAATTGGCTTATGAGAGGGATGGTCACAGAGTCATGGTAGACCTCTGAGCGAGGGGGGGAGGAAGGAGGCGGAACAATCACGGATCCCTGTTCTGGAGGGGGAGGGTGGATCAAGTGGACTCCGGATGGCTGGATTAGCGGCATTAGGGCAGGGGGCAGTAAGTCGTGAGCGTAGGCCCTCGTAATGGGCGTCCAGGTCAACATCGAGGTTGATACTACCAGCAGATTACTGATCCTTAAAGAGCATATACACTCCATGTGCTTGGTCACTGACGTAAAACTTGGTCGAATAAGCGTCATATATGTATAATCTAACCTACGGTCAGTAGTTTCATTGTTTGTTGACGAATAAACGTTTTATAAAGGTTGATTCTTCTTGTTCATTTTCAAATGACTTTAACGACCTAGTAGTCTCAGGGTTTTTCTGTCACAAGAACTTGAAATTAAAAAGAAGATGTGATCTGAATTTTTCCTTTTGTACAGATTAAAAATCATAAAATCCGCACTTTTAAACAAAACGACATAATATTCGGTGACAGACGATACAGAAATGCAAGTAACGGCGTGTCCTACGAACGCTTTTTACATAGGGCCTTCGTTCATCAAGTTTATGAACTCCTCGAAGTTCATTTCCCCATCTAGATCTTGATCGTGCCGTTTTACCCACTCTTGCAGTTCACTCAACTTGCAGTCGAAGTTCATGTCCTTTAGCAGGATCATTAACTCTGAGCAGGATATCTTGCCGGACTTGTCTTTGTCAACATCATCAAAGACGCTCTTCCAGAAGGCTAGCCTAAAAGATTATGAAAAGACGTTTTTCAGAGGGTGACAAGAGCAATTAAGCCAAATAAGACCGCCAGAGCATCGGATACTAATGAAAAACGAAGTTCTTACAGAAGGCAATGTCAGATCGACGATGCATGAGAAAAGTCTGCTGTCCAAAAGTGTTGTAGACGAACGGAGGTTGGAAAGACCAGTTCTGGCTTTTTGACATCGGTGGTTAGCCAGGGGAGAAGAATTTACTGACCTTAGCAGTTCTCGCTTCAACCCCTACTTACCGCTTACTTGGAACATTTTATCATTGGGCAGCAGATCGTGCTTCCCCAAGTGTTTCAACGCAATTTGGTCATTAACTAGGAATCTTACTTTCTATTTACTTCGCAACTAACATGCATAAAATACAGTTCATCAAAAATGGTTTATACGAACCGCAATCTACGCCTACATGCAAAGTAATGAAGGCGCAAATGTCCAATAATTCGAGGTGACCCACATAATCTGCTGCAAGGTTGATTTACAAATCGAAGGGAAATGTGCATTTTTCACAAATGCCAGGAAAAAACTTAAGATAAATAGAGAAAGAAGAGAAAGACGTGTGAGTAAAAGGAAATTCGATAAAAAAATTAGTTTCCGTTTTTCAAAGTGGAACTCCATTTCGTGAAGATTATTAAAGAGATAATAAATACCATTTTCTTACTGTTTTTCCCTTCTTGGAACTGTGCATACTACGCGAAGATATTCGTCCTCTGTAATGTTTCCATCTCCGTCTGCGTCGAAGGTACTAAGGAACTTCTGCAAGAATAAAAGATGAGGCCTTTTTTCGGTGTCTTCTATTGCATTATTTGGATAATAGCCACCGGTTGTGGACTTGTGGTTTCTTGATTTTAAAATAGATATATAGCGCCAGCGCATATAAGTTTGAAGGGATATCCGGAACCTTTGACATTTTTTCAACCTTTTCCGATAAGATGTGATTATGTAGCTTCACCTGATGGGCACAGTACTGCTGCGGTTGGGGTTAGGGGGTGAGGGTTAGGGGTTAGAGCTAGAGGTTAATGTTAGGGGTTATGACTAGGGTCAGGGTTAGGGAAACTATGTCGCAACCACCGAAGGTACAACCGCGCGTTCCCAATAGCTTTTCTTTTGCATACACCTACTTGACCTCGTCGCCTGTGCGTTCCCCGGCCCAACCTGTAAAAACCCCCTATTTTCACTGGTCCCCCATCACAAGTGGTTGGGGTTTATTTACTTCAGGTGGGGCTACATATCCACATCTAACCTCTTTTTCGATCGAGCAGTGGTCATGATCATTTCCTGACATTTACAGTAAAGCGAAGATACGCCAGCATATCCGAACCTCCCAGGTTTTCGTGGGAAAATTAGATAAAACATAGATTATTAGAAGACTTCCTGATTGCAAGATCCACCGACCGACGAGCATCTTCTGAGTGCATACATTCGAAGGACAGAATATTGCTGGCTGTTAAACGAAAAACCATATTTCCGGTTTATGTCTGCAGTCGGATAAAAATAGAAGAGGTGCTATCGTTACGATTTATAAATGTTTCTTGACACTCAATTCCACTTCACTTCAATCAGCATGCTTTATTAGCACTTCCACTTTTATTTTAGAAAAGAAAAGACCCAATTCGCCAATTCTGGTGCAGCCTAAAACCAATGACCTGGGTTCCGAATACTCGGTGGCTTGGTCAAGAACGCAAAACGAGTTCGAACGCTCAGAACAATAAACAAAATGTTCCGGTGCTCGACCATTCTTCCTCTTCTTCTTCTTCACTCAACCAGTATATTGCAAATGAACGAATAGTAGTGAACTATACTTATACTAAACTTATGCTATTGTATTTCGTCATATGAGTCACCTGGGAGTTTAAGACTGGGGAAAGACTTTATTAGATTCCAGCAGTGAATTTTTCGCATTGTGCATGACCGCTAACTCCGGTGTCGCCTAATAATTGCTCTGGTTACTTTTGTTAACAACCTATCCACAAAGACCTTGCTTCAAATCATACACATTGCATCGTGTACTTTAAACACATTTTTTCAGGGCGACCTTCAGCGTTGTGAAGGAATTCCAAGCAAAAAGTGCTTTCTACGAGCCTCAGGGTTTCATATGAATGGAGCGCATGCGTGACAGATGAGACGCGCTGTATGAAAGAAAATATCAATAATGCTTCTGGGTACCGCACGGTGGCCATGCATTCGTGGCGGCAATTTTTGCTGGTATTCAAAAACATATCGCCGTTAACGTAAATGTCACGGAAGTTTGCAGTCCACCTCAGTGACAGTTTTAATTTATACATATAAGTGGTTGTACATTTGAACCCTGGGGCTCTTATAGGCTCTTCACTGTTCGGTCGACCTCGTGATTATCTTTTGATCAATAGAGCCCAAGGAAACTGATTTTTGCCTTTGTAGAGATATCCCTGTTTTTCTAAAAAGGATGAATCAACTTTATTTCGTTGACCACCGAGAGCTAGATCCTTTCCAGGTCCACGCTTAAATATCAGTGAAATACTTAAAAGCCCTTAGCGGCCCATTTCCATATATGTAGCAAAAACTTGCTAAAAATTCCTTTAAGTATCTTAAAAGGTTCATTTTTGAAGCTCAGAGCAAACAGCACATTTCTGCCAATATCGCCCTGTTATAACTTTGCAAACTTTCGATCATGATCTGCAAACTTTGCGCAGTTTAAAGGATACGAATCAAAATGTGTGTAGAAGGCTCCAACCCCTTAGCAATAAACGTTTAAGCTTCCCCACTTCTGCATGACAGCATTTAATTATGCCAGTATTACCCTGAAATGCATTCTTCTATCTCTGTCATTTCGGGATGAGACATCAGACAGTGGCTTCGCTGTTAAGGCTTTCGTCACTGATGCATACCCTTGAAGTCACCAGAATAACCGTTCGCCGTTAGCGTATCTCCATCCGTTCAAAAGATTTCTGAATCGCCACCCCCTCGTGTTTGCTGATAATGGGTGATCTACAATTGCTCGATGAATGCATCGTTCAAACTAAAGAAATAACGTTAAACGAAAGAAACCGGACGGGGCACACGAGGCATCCTGTCTAGTTGAAACGCTGTCAGACGTTTGGCTGGACCGGAAAGCCCTCTGTGTCATCGCACAATTAGAACAGATCGTCAATCAGTCATCTTATATTACAGGCAAAGCAAATTTTCCAAGGACTAAATATAGCAGTAATGCGTTTACGAAGGGCAGTTGGTTGATATTGTAGTCGACTAAAACACTGCGTTTCTCGGAAGTCTGCGTATAAGAGATAATTTTGAACGAACGAAGGTAAGGTCGAAAAAACATTTAGGCCAGTTTACTGTTGACATAATACACATGTATTTCGGCTGTATATTAAGGGTTCATTCTGACGCATCTGCAACTCACTTTCGACAGATTTTCTTCACTGAAAGTTCTGTTGTTTCAGACTATTTACAGAGCCTTTCAGGGCGGCAGGTTTGAACTTAAGCAGACATACTGCACTGCAAAAAAGTATTCCTTCCAGAAAGTGAGGTTTAAAAAGAGATGGAAAACGGATATTTGGCTTAAAATAAAATCTCCTAGGACCTGCAAGTAAAACCGCGTACCTTTACGAACTTTTTATCAAATCCTGAGGCAAGGAGGCAACTTTTCACTTCCGCTTTGCTCAGTATGCCATTCTTGTCGATATCCATTTCCCGAAACTTTCGCAAAAACTGTTTTCTTTCGCTGTCCATAGCAGCTAGGCCTGGTGTAGGATTTAATGGGTAGTGAACGGGTAGGACTATACAGCAAGGCGCTGGTCAGAGGATACACACTCTGCCACTTCATCAAAGATGGTTAATGTGGCCGACCGACCATGTCATCACACCTTCATTGGTCCATTGGCCAAACACGTAAACCGACAAAATACTCCGCCAATCAGATCAAAGCAGTAATCAAGCCAGCACGGGAAAGGGAAAAATTGTAAATGGGTCCAAAAGCCGCTAATACCCTCGGATTCCGTTGCCTGGGCTCACCAGGATGATCTTCGTTCTTGATCGATGATCAAGGCATGAGGCACGTAGCAGTCCAACAAGATGTCTGCAGATTGATGATCAATTTTGGTATGTGGGTGCAGTTTGCACCGATTTTAGCCCAGAAATAACCTCTGCTTTTGGATCTTTGACCCTTATAGAAGGCACATCAGGAAAAATATAAGTGGATAGCGTCAAATACCAGTGTTTTGCCCAAGACTGGCAGAATGCAAACGAGCATAAACTAAGGTAGGGCAGCGTAAAAACTAAGGACATCAGAGAAATTTCCCTAAGAAAAATATCAGTAACAGTGTTTGCAGTCGGCATCTGGGCGATCAACCACTCGACTTCATTATTATTATTATTATTATTATTATTAATGGAAGACACCATTTTGAATACAGACGGTCTGTCATCAGCGTTCTGGATTTTAAAAACAGCTTTCGCTTGACTTATAGGCTTTCCCTTTGAAAGGCAGTTATAATGGGGATGTTTCCATTTTAAGACGCATTCATCAGTTACGTAAACGTTGCGTCGTCGTTCAGTGATTTTAGAAAACATACATATATCGCATCGAAAGACCACTTATTGATTCGGTTACGGTATGAAACACGCGGCATATGTATCTGTTTTCTTTTCTCATTGGGCATTGTGCGACTTCCTCTGCGAGCTCTAAACAGAGTCCCAAGTCACAGCAAAGAAACGAACGAACTTCGTACGTTAATTGATATTCTCAATGACAGCTGACAAGTCGAGAAGTCCTTGATTTGACAAATCAACGACTAAGTAGTTCTGGTTCAAATACCGGATTATCTAAATCGGAGCCAGAGTATGGTTGGCTGACGACGGCAAAAGGGGACAATTCCAGTCCCAAGTCTTTGTCCCGCGCTCTAGAACACTTTATCAGCTAGAACAGCCTGAAATGTCGTTATTTCTGGAACCCGTTTCTGCAAAAATACCCGCATTTCCCGTTGATGTATGTTTAATACCTGAATTTAAATACCCGCATTTCCCATTGATGTATGTCCAATACCCGAATTTAAAGTCGTATGTTCAGAGTTCTTTGGTTTTTTCTCCTAGCAACTTCATGTTAAATGACAACTGTGAATAGATAGCGCCAGTTTATTTGACCACCTTCCTTCCCGTCCTCTTTTAAACCATCTAAACACGTAAGAAAATTCCGGTTTAAACTCCTTTCTTACCATCGACCGAAAAACGTATCTGAGGGAAGAGGCATTTGCATAACAATTATATCTCAAAAAGTTTAATCTCAATCCTCGCCTCCAAGCCTTTACACACAAACTTACAAAGCGAGTATAAAAAATAACTACAAAAAACGGTCCAACTTGTCGGGTTGGTTCACGTCCGTGTCCGCTCTACTTAATCCGATGTTCGAGATTTGGGCGTCTTTTTCGTTCTCAGCTTTAGCGGTTCCGTCTATGATGACCTCATGGGACACAAATAAAGTGAATATGATGGCTGTTTTAGGACATGACCTCAAAATAATGATTTTCGTGACATGATGCAGAGTGTCACCAAAGGAGGCTGATGAGAATTTCCGTCACAACTATCGTCTTCAGAAACTGGTCAGTTGAGCAAGAGTTTTTGTCTCGGATTACACTTGATGCACTCCCGGGTGTGTTCACTCTGTGACGTACCTTAATAAGCGACGTTTGAATAGAAGGTTGACACGCAAGGTTCTTTATAAGTTGACTGGGAGTAGAAACCCGTCGTGTGCCAATGCCACCATAAATAACGGTGGTAGTATGCATTCCGAGACGATATAGTAAAAGGAGAAGACTCGTCGGAAAATCTTGATATACTCGTGAATTTTCAAGTCGGCAGCACCAACCCGTCGTCAGGCGAAGAGAATGATGTGAGGGAGATAATCGTACTAGGGAGTTGGGGCGACATCGAGGTTACATCGACAAAACAGTCGTCTATGTGTGCGAGGTGAAGAACATGTTTGGATAGGAGACGGAAGTTAGAGGGGGTGTTGAGAGTTTCACCTATGGTTCACACTGTGGGGGAGGTGCTGAATCCGTGATATTCTACATGGCCGAACCCAGATTAGCGGCTGGTGTCTTAGGGTGGGCGCAAACCAGTGAACCGTGAACGCAAACTTTCCTAGTGAGCGTCCAAGTCGGCATGGCGGTTGATGATGTTGTCATCAAAGGGCCAAGCTTCAAGAAACTATCGCGCCTGTTTGGCGTTGACACGGTCGATCACTTCAGTCCCCACCCAGTTTAAGCCGTGATCATAATCAAGGGCGTGCGCAAATACGAGAGACAAGGGGTCCCGTCAACGAATGGCCAAGTTAGGTTAATTAATGCGGGTCCCAAGTCGCCGGCCGGTACGCCCAGCATAAACGCTAGAGCAGTTTGTACCTGGAATGCGACAAATGACATTTGTTTGCTGCTCCTTCGGTATGAGGTCTTTTACTCGGAATAATGTCATGCGTAATGAAGACGCCGATTCATGGGCGATGGAGATGCAGAACTGATTTGACTGTTGGGCGATCGCTGCCGGGTGTGATTATCTCCCTCACATTATTCATTTCGTCTGACGACGGGTTGGTGTTACCGACCTGACAATTCACGAGTGTATCTCGATTTCCGGACGAGCCCTCTCCTTCAATATGTCACCATGTTGGTCTACTTTACACTGATTACACCGTAGGATTTCCAAGAGTAGGACAATTAAAATCGGATGAGTCAAGACATTATTTTTTACCTAACGAAGACAGTAAGTGTTTTTAAAATCAACACACTACACAGTGACACAGTTTGTCAAAGGTTTCAGCTGTTTGTGGAAGGTTGAAACACCGGGGGAAAATGGAATACTTGACAGGAAAAAAAATCGGCCTCGGTAGTTAAAATCAACTTTTCCGTTCTATGTTAAACAGCTTTTTATAATCAGAGCCAAATTTTCAACGATGGTAAACCACTAAACAATTTTTAGTTTGGAATATGCTTCTCACCTCCAGGCACATCTTTGCGAACGTTATAACTTATGGTCATAAATGGCGAAAATTACTGGTCTGGGCTTATTCATGTAAAAGGGGCCATAGGAAAGAAAATAAAAAAACCTTACGCCAGTCATTTTGCTCTTGCCATCATCCCCAGAACGAAGCGATTTTGGGGGAATATTTTATAGTTGATGTAATTTCATCACTAAAATCTTTCATGGTACCCCCGTTAAGTATTCATTTGCACCAACCTGACCAAAGTCTCTGCAGAATTCCAAATCCCGAATGCAGATGGGCCTTGGAGGCCGGGTGTGTATGCCGGATAAAAAAAACCTGTTTTGGAAGATCGGCATTCCTTTGCCATTTGGGTGTGGTTTACAAGCAGTTAGCAAGACATCAAGTTACGGCGTCAATAGCATGGGCGTGTGCCCACGGAAAATCACTTGTAACCGACCGTCGGAATTCACAAAACATTCTTGCATGTGGTCCATAACCGCTGCGATTACCCCTAGAGGCGCTGACCTTTACAATTCGACCGACCTCTGTGTGCAGCAACATAGCAGACATACGAGAGTTCGACCGTCAATTCTGACCATGTCCACCGTGCGCTACACAGCTAGGTGCAGCAAGCATGGTGACTTGCGCGTGAATTAGTTTACAGTGACAGTAGACTTGCGCTGCATCTACCGCACTCTCTCCTTCCCATCCCCCACCTGTACCCGGTGTCAAGACAGAGTCAAAAAGACCGGAGGCGGAGGAGGGTGCAGGTGGATGGCATGGCGTCCGCTTTCATACCCCCTGCTCCACAACACACACTTGATCAGGATTGCTCGCCACCAACAACAACACCCCAAGAGGGGTCAGAATAACGAGGATGATGACTGGGCAACCATTCCCATCACCTCTATACACCGCGGGAGTGGAGGCGCATCTACCGGCAGGGAACCAGGCGTCAGGGAACTGCCAGCACGTACCAGGCTCCGAGGGCCATGGTTTGCTGAATCATGGCATGGCAGACGCTTAAGTGAAGAAGAAGAAGAAGAAGAAGAAGAAGAAGAAGAAGAGGGGTCGAGCACCGGAACATTTTGTTTATTGTCCCGAACTTTCGGACACGTGCAGGAGTCTATCGTCAGAGATGGTAGCAGCAACAGAACAGGCGACAGTTATAGAGCATTTAGGCCAATCATCGACCGACGGCACAAGCCTGGAGGTGACTGCGCGTGGCTCTGACGATGAACATCTGCACTAATCCGAAAGCGCAGGACAGTAAACAAAGTGTTCCGGTGCTTGACCCCTCTTCTTCGCCACTTATGCATACACTTGGAATTTGAAATTTCGCCTTCATTCATAGCACACGCTGGCAGGTCTTTTGACCTAGAAGGACGACACGTGGCCCTGCATTTGGCCTGGACCGCCAGTCGACGACCGACAAAGCACGCACACACAAGAACACCCTCCTCACCTGCATGAGAGTGTCACAGGCCGCTTGAGAAGGGGCTCTGACAGCCTGTTTCTCGGCTTACCAGCCCGCCATTCCACACAATACATACAACTGGGCAGACTGTGTGGACTGAGTTGGGGCGTCATTCGGCTGCCCTCCGAGACACGGCGCTAGAGCGCAGCCTTCGTCTCAGATTCTGATCGCACATGCAGCAGGGGAGTCGCACGGAGAAGCAGTAGAGACGCACACTTCCCACTTGCGCAGAAGGGG